CTCTTTATATAGGTAATTTAGATCTTTAAAAGAGTAGTAGGATAAATACCTACTACTCTTTTAGCAACTCTTATTAATACTTAAATACTAATATTAATACCTACTACTCCTACTACTATACTACCCCTTTACTACCTACCTATATCCTCCTCCCTCCTTCTACTATCCCGTATAAATACCTACTACCTTAACGACCGCGAGGATAACTACTAAACCGGCCTTTAACCTACTTTTAATTAATAGAGGTCCTATTAGAGGAAGAAGAATTATCGACGTAAGGGTAGATAGAGTAGGAGCTAGGAATTTAATATTCTAAGAGTAGTACTAACCCGTATAATAGCTCGAGTAAGTAGGATTTACTATTAATAAGGAGCAGAAGGAGCTAATAGAGTTAAAAGCTAGCCGTCGCTTTCTAACTTAAGATCTAATATTCGATCTAGCTATTAAAATCTATAACCGTTACTCCTACGTTAATACTTTATTAATTTAGAGCCGGTCTATATAATCCTATTAGAGAATTATCGAAATATACCGGCTAATAATATTATAGTAGAACGGTATACCCCGACGAGATAGTAGTAGATAGTAATAGAGAAGAAATAGGAACGGATAAGCGGTACGAGCGGTATTAGAATAGCGATAAGAACTTCTAGGTATATTTCCTACTTATATAAAGGTATACGATACTAACGGGAATAGAGCTATATAATCTAGAAGAAGAACTTCTATAATATCTATAGTAACTATAAGTTTTATAATTAGGCTTATAGCTACGACTATAGGAACTTACTTAATCGCTAGAATAGAGATTAGGTACGGCTAAAGCGTAGTATATCGTAAATAACGAGGTCTAGGCGTACTAGTAGTCGCTAAAGAATAGGGATAGTAGAGTACTAGTAATAGGGCTTAATTAGGGTAAAGGGTAGTTTTTAAAGAGGTAATTAGGGCGTTAAGGGTATCTAGAGGAGGAGGGAATCTCTTTTAAGTTCTTTGTACTAGCGGCTTTAAGCGTTAGGAGTTTCTAATAGGTTACGAGGGCCTTAATTATAGTACTTAAAAACTACTTTTAAAATATATTTTCTATTTTATAATTACTTACTTCTATACCTAAAATATAACTCCTCCTTACTTTATACGTTCGTATAATTTGTCCCTATAAATATCCTACGATTTATATTACTATCGCTCTATATTAAAGAAATATACTATCTTAACCCTAACCCTATAGTTTTTAGTAAAGTTTTCGCTAAGGTTTATAACCTCTTACTATACTAATTCCTTTCCCGTCTACCCTCTACCCTATTATACGTATATTCTATATAATAGGCCGCTCCCCTTCTATCCCCCCTAATCTTTATTTAAAAGTCGTTAAACTCTAGAATAATAATGCGAGTATTACTAATATTTAAACCTTCCTCTATTTATAATAGCTATATACCTCCGAACGGACTATYCGTATAATCGTCGTARAGAACGGTAGCGAACCCCGATAGTCGTTAAAGAATAGTCTTTAYRATAATCCCCTCCTTCGTATYCGAATAGCCGAACTCTTCTACCTCGAAGCTCTACTAGATACGTATATYRTAGACAAATTAAACGAGGAGGGATTTRCGATTAAGTACTATACYTTTATAYRGCYTYRGCGGAGTATARGTATTAAGAAACGACTAAGAGAAGGAGAGTTCCTTAAGCGTTAAGAGGAATATAAAAAGATTATAAAGAAGGAGATTAATCGCTCGAACCTTAGAG